TTCACCAAAAATAATAAATAAATAAATAAATAAGACCGATTAACATGCATGCATCTTCAAAGAAATTAAAAAAATAATAATAAATAAATAAAATAAAAGGAAGACTTCTCACCTTCTTAAAATCAGGTGTAAAAGAAAAGTCATTCAAAAACACAATTAACGCCAATTTAATATGCTAATTTTCAGTCATCTTCAAAAGAACATTCATCCATGGTTTTCCGAAACCATTAATAATTATTCTTCCTTTTGTCATTATTACGTCATAATTAAACTTCAAAATTAGTTTTATCACGGCTAGGAACTCATTTAAAATGTGCGTTCCTTGTTGAGATCATTATTTAAGAGTTGACATGATAAGTTAGATTAAATTGATAAACAATGATTTGACTTAATAAACACAAAATTTGTATGTTTCTTCTCTCGGTGATTTCTATGAATGTCATCGAAGAATGATACTTTTTTTTTTTTTTATGTGCGCTCCAAATAGGCAAAGAAAGCAAGTTAAGTAATATGAGATACAGCGAATTCTCCATACATCATAAAAGAAAAAGTGGTTCTCGTAAGAAAAGATGCTTTGACTTTATCTCTCAAAATCAATCATAAGTTGGTGTTTATCTTATCGTAAAGAATAGACTCTTTTGAACCAAGATTGAAGCATAAATTATTTGTTAGGGAAGTGAGAAAAATGATTGTCATGACCATCTCGTTAATCTAATTAATATGTCACATCAACACTTCTAATAATACTAATATCTATAGTTTAATAAAATTATAATCAATACTCTATGGTTAAAATATTTTATTGTTCAAATTAGTCGAAAAATAATTAAAAGTTTATAAAAAAAAATAGATAGAAGTGTTAAAAAATTTAATTATTCAAAAAACTAAGTCTTAAATAAATATTTTATTGTTAGGTTCCATAAATTCTTAATTTAAAAAATATATTTTTACGTACAAGAAAATTATGTATATAAATACATATATTTATTTTATTCTTATTTAATTCTATAATTTAAATTTTAAAATACATATTTTGAAATTGAATAAAAAAAATCTTAATTAAGGTTTAAAAATAAATAGAGATTATAAAATATAAATTTTAATTTTATTAAAAACAAAATTTTAAATAGGTTAATGTTAGTTTAAACACTTGAATTTAATTTTAAAAATTGTCTATTCACGAACCCTCTTAATGATAGAACAAAATTTATAAATTAAATTTATAATTTAATTTTTAAGATAAGCCACGACATGTCATACATCATATATTTTTAAAAAATATACATATAAACCATAAAATTATAAAAAAAAAATGCTGATGACACATTTAAAACAAATTGGGTTTACTATTGTTATGGTTATTTTTATAATTAATTCCCAATCCAAATTTAAAAAAAAAAAAATCACATTTTCAATGCACGAAAATGAATTAAATTATAAAAAAATTAAACAAAAATAATTAATGTCGCATTCAAAGGAAGACAGCAATAGCAGCATTTTGACTTGGTCACATGTCTCTTCCCACGTGCCGCATGCTTCAGAGTGTGAAATCATATCCATATATATTATATTATACCTAATATTAAATAATTATGGACCCGCCCACTTTTTCAGAACATTTTGTCATTATTATTAATAATTTGGGATTTTTTTTTTTTTTTTAAGTACCAAAATAGAATTGACTTGCAAAGACTCTTCTAAATCAAATTAATTGAGTAGGTTCATTTCAACCATAGCATGTGTTGCCCTTCTCCTCCATTTCAACAACTATTACGTCACGCCATCTATATCTACATTTATGGAGATGGCACGACTAACTATAAGTTCAAAATACTTTGAAATGATTGCTTTATTCTGATGTCAATCGACCTTTCAGTAGTTATTGTAATTGTTTGAATGCATTTAAAAACTTTCTATTTTATAAATTTTAAATTTGATTTTTCTCCTTTTAAGAGCTATAAAAAAAAAAAAGGAAATTTCTCGGTGAAATAAGATATGGATATAAAATACACCATTTTTCCAAATGTGCGGCGGACAAGCTGCAAAAGCCATTCATCAAATTTTGACAAATTTAATATATATTCTCTCTATAATTTATACACACACTAAAATATTATTTTTATTCCTAAAAAATTTATTAGTTTTCAAAAAATTGTTGTAATAAGCATCCATTTTTGTTCCATTCCAAACAAAGACAATTAAAATTAGCCACAAATTTAAGAAATTAATAAATAAAATTAAAATTAACGCTAACTTATAATCTTAAATTTGCAATTTGCATGAATGAATACGACCTAAAATTTTGTTTATTGATGTCTTTATTGAAAACAAAAAAATTAATTATAATAAATTGAGTTCCAATTTGAATTTGATTTAGACAATAATTCACAACGCCTCTCAACTTTGTGTTCGAATAAAAAATTTAATTTAATTTATAGTTTATATTAACTTGAAAAATGTAATTTAAATCAAATTTGTTGATATATTCGCCTTGGAAGAAGAAGTTAAATACAAGCGGCAATATTAGTTATTAAAAAACATTGATAAATTTGTAGTCGCTTTCAAATTTTGACCAGATGATTAGATAACGAGGTGGAAATTTGAACTTTTTGCACCGTTTTTATTTTTATTATTTCTCTAAATTATATTTTTATTTCCAATTGCCATGTTCATGCTTGTCTAAGGAGTGTTGTTTGAAACCGTATGCCGAATATACGGTCATACTTGCCTATGACCACATGCCTATTCCAAATAGATATTTACTATTTCTTATTGTGTCCGTATATGATCAGTAACTAAAATCATGTGGTTAAAAAATGTCTTAAAATACACTGTTGTTATTGCTTATTTGTTTTTAGTTCGTAACATTGCTTACTTTAAAATTGTTTTCAATGTATTTCCTCGTTTTACAAGGTTCACTTCCATAAATTTTTTATTAAAATATTTAAAATTTTAGAAACAAAAAGTCGAAACAGAAGAGATTGTTTACATCCTTCCTTCTATCCAAATAATAAGTAGACAATAAGATGACAAATGGAATAAAATGCCACAAAAAAAAAAAAAAAATTGTTTAGTCATTTAGATGATAAGACTTGAGAAACCTGATCTACGCCCATTCTTTTAAAAAGAAATTAAAATAAAAATATTAGCTCTTTGGAAATTACTGTAAATTAAAAAGATGGGTCCCACAGACGAAAAATATAATAATATAAAGTTTCAAAATTTTCCACAACCTAATATTAATGCCAATAATTATATATTAATTATATACTAAATAATATAGCTCACGCTCTTGTCATCACCAATCCACATACAATTATATATATTAAAAAAATTATTATATTTTAACTAGAAATAAATTTATTAAATTTTATTATATGTAAATTATATTCTAATAAATTTAAAGAAATTTCCAATCTCGAGTGTGTTATATTTTATGAATTATAAACCGATCAAATAACTAAATTATACGAGTTGGGTATAGAAAATTAAATTGATGAAATTTCTTACCAACCAAAGAATTTTTGTTTGGATTCTATTTGAACATACGAAATGTATCGGTAAGGATCATAAGAATTCACTTATTTAATTTTAATATAAATGAAAAGAGAAGAATATGTTAGATTACATATTCAAAATTGGTACGCTTTAACTAAACAACGAGCGAAATTGAAAGAGAACGATATAAGTTATCCAAATTAGTATAATCTAGACCGAACAACTTATGAGAATTTTCTCTTTGATTTTTATAACTATTCCTAATTTGTTAAAAATCAAACACAATACAAACCCAAGAAGTTTCTTATGAAAGTACAAAATTTATAAAGCAAACTTCCTTTAAAAAAGAAAAAAAATCACCTTTCTAATTAAATTTGCAATATGAATTATATAATAATGTTCTAGAAAAATGTTAGTTTTTTATACGCGTATTTTATAGAATATAGATTTTTTTGTCTTTTTGTTTTCTTTTTCAAAAAGAAAAAAATACATACACGAGTCTAAGTCAAATTTTATTAGGTACATTGGACGTGGTATGTGAAGTTGATGGTATTATTGGTACGTGAAGTTGATGGTATTATTGGTACGTGAAGTTGAAGGTCTCTAATAATTCAGACCATGAATGAGAACTTAAGTTTCAACCATTTTGAGACCATGAGTCCTAGAAAATTGCGTGTGTCACGCCTAAGTCCAATAACCAATAATTTTACTGTTTTTATGTATAATACAAATCTATGGTTTTAAATGTTTTAATATAAAGTTTATATTGTGTCATTGTTTTATTATTTTCTTAATATCAAAAAATTAATAAATACAATGGGATGGTGGTGCAATTGACTAGCGTGTAGGTCTCGTAACTTTACTATGAGTTATCATGAGGTCGAGAGTTTGATCTCTCACCCCATTTATTTATTTATTTTTAGTTTTTATCTGTTTCTTCTTCTCAATTTTATAGGATTCCTTTAACTTTGCAATATGAAATTAATCTAATTAAATTTATTTAAAATAATTTCATAACAAAATTGGATGTGTAGTACTTATCTACACATGCGGGCGTGAGTCCCGAGATGGTTCTTATATAAAAAGAAAATTAAAAATGGTAGAAGGAAAAGAAATGGAGGTTAATATGGTTGATGATAGAGAGGTCTACAATTCCCATAGAGCGAGGCCGAAGCTGAAGAGCCCACTTCACTCCAATTCCTCATCTTCTTAAACAATAAAACAAAAGCCCAACACACCACTTTACATTTTCATAACAATAACCATCTTTTCATTTTTTTTTTTTTTTTTTAACAAATATTTTCTTAGTTTTCAGAGTTTAGCATGATTTTTTAAAAACAAGAAGTAGATAAAAATAAATAAATAAATAATAATAATAAATATGGGAAGGAGGGTGAAATAAAATAAAATAAAATAAAATAAAATAAAATAAACCTAAAAGGTATCCTAGCAATATGGGATTGTGTTTCACAATAAATAAATAAAAAAGGAAAAAAGAAAAGCGGGTTGAATGGAAGCGACTGGGCGGTAAAGAAGACGATAAGAAGAGGATACAGAGGAGTGTGGGAGTGGGCATTTATGGTTACCGAATCAAGATTTCATTCCTAAGATCTCTCTCTCTCTCTCTCTCTCCCCCCCCCCCCCCCCCCCCCCCCCCCCCCNCCCCCCCCCCCTGCACTCATAATAAGATTCACAAGCATTTCAATCCCCATTCCTCTCTTCTCTGTTTCCTTTCGCTCTTGCTAATCCCCCCCAAATGGACTCTCAGGCTCCGGTTCACATCCAGGTTGTGAAGATCAAGCGGGAGATTGAGAAGATCAAGCATCCCTCCCTTCAGCAATCCGAGATGACCACTCATCTTCTTCTTCGCGACATGTCGATTTCCAAACCGCGACCTCGCTCCCCGCTAGGGCTCGCTGCGGAGAGGTCTATTTCCGTCGGGAATTAAATTAGGTCATATTAACCTCTTCTTGCTCTTCTCCCTCTGCTAAAACCCTAAATTCTTGTTTCAAAGGGGTTTGTACATAGTTTGGCTTTACCATTTCCGAACTTTATGGATATGCCGGAGTTGCTTTATTTTCTTCTTCTTCGTCTTCTTCTAATTTCTTCTCTCTCAAAATCTCTGTTCTTGAAGGATTTCATGAAGCAACTTCCTCTGTCGGAAAAAGAATTCAAATCCGCTATGATGATTAAAAATTATTATTATTATTAGATGATCATTTTTTAGCGCTTCAAAATTGTTCAAGAAAATTGCACGGAATATGATGTTTTAAAATATAGTTTATTTTTATTCGATATTTTGTTGCTTTTACGGACTTTAAAAGTAGGATTCTGTTTATAAAAAATAAAAACTAGAAATACCAAAATGCTAAAAAATTATGTTTAGAATTAATTAATTAATTAAATTGAATATCTATTGACTGAAATAATAATTCTAAACTACACATTTAATTTTGATACCTACTCTCTAAATTTTGCATAGGATGACTAATTAAAATTTTATTTAATTTTGATTGCTTTTATATATATATATATATATATATATATATATATATTTTTAACTTTTTAAGTCATTCCTTATCAAGTAGAAACAATTCTTATCATAAATTTAATTTATTGAAAACAACGGTTTCAATTTCTAAATTTTTAAAATTTTAAACTCAATATTATTTCTCTTCATTTCATTTTATTTGTTTGTTTTTTAGTTCATCAAAGCTAAAGATAAGAAATTGAATGATGATATTTAATGTTTTAATCACTAAATTATGTCCAAATTGACATAATATCTAAATTTTAAGGTTTACTAAAAGAATATTGCATGAAAATATTGATATTTTGTTTTTATTAAAATTAATAAGGGAATATGTTGAAATTAAATGAATGAGATGACAATTATTATTATTATTATTTTGAGTTAGATCTCTTATTGTGTGCACGGATAAATTTCTTGTTTTTTTCTCGTTTTTTATGTTTAATAAACATTCTTAAAAAATAGTGATATTAAGAAATCATATTTTTTTTTTAAAATAATTCCAAAAAAAAAATTATTCTCCATTCTATTTTTAAAATTACTTTCTATAAATAATTATCCAAACATAAGTTTAACTTATCTGTGTTAGAAAGATTTTTTTTTTTTTTTTTTTTTTTTTTTTTTTTTTTTTTTTTTTTTTTTTTTTTTTTTTTTTTTTTTTTTTTTTTTTTTTTTTTTTTTTTTTTTTGTGTAAATAAAATATAAAATTTAATTGAAAGTATAAAATGTTTTAAACAATTATTTTAAAAATAAAAAATTAACATATTACAACAATTTCATATATGTCAACTTGAAAATTAATACCTAAAGAAAAAGTTTCGAAAGCATTCTATTCTTCTAAATAACGAAAAATTTGATAGCAGAGACTAAAATCATTTATTTTTTTCAAAATTTCAAGAAAAAAAAATGTTGTTTTAAACATTGTGAACCATAAGGTTAGTCAAAACTGTAATCTTCCCGTTATTATACAAACATCATTGAACGCTCCCAACAGCTTTCATTCCCATCCACTCAAAAAACTTGTAAATGTCCCTTAATCCCTTAATCCCTGTTTTTCAATCATCAGCTAATGATGCCTTCATTCCAACCCTTTGATCCAAAGAATCTTGGGTCCTCATTGCTCATATTCACGTAAAGAACAAAATTCACCCAAAAAGAGGAGAATAAAAGATCACTTTGAATATTTCTAAAAGCAAAACAGCAGCAGTCCTAAGAGCCAAACTCAACTTGTTCATATTCTCAGAATCATACCCACTTACATTCCACACATGCCCACTAAAAGTATGTTTCTCAGGAATCTTTTAATCAATTAATGCTCTTTGAATACTAGAAAGTGTTCTCCAGAAAGATTCCATGCGCATCTAATTGGCTTTGCTAATAAGTTTCTAAGTTATTCCTCGAGCTTTATGTCATGTGTCTTGTCTTAGAGAGAGAGAGAGAGAGAGAGAGAGAGAGACAGAGTAATGGTTGAATTTTGTTATGCCAAAGCATGCAGGTTTCAATCAAAGTGCAAATTCCACGCCTTTAGGAATTTGATAGGCTAACTTATTCCTTGTGGCATGTACCAAGAGTAACCATAAACACAGATATTCTTTTATGTAAAAGCATGCAAGTCTTAATAAACACACCTTTAGGAATCTGAGGTGGTAGCTAGGACATGCTGCCACTGGCATCATCTTGTTTAAAATGGGTCTCTGCAAAAAAAAAAAAAAAAAAAAAAAAAAAAAAAAAAAAAAAAAAAAAAAAAAAAAAAAAAAA